CCCCGGGGTGTGCCCGCAGCCAGGCGAGAAGAGCGCGGGGACCCCTGCCCTCCTCTGCCCTGCCGTCACCTGGGGGCCGCGGGCCTCGCCTCAGGGCGGGGCGGGGGCAGGCTGAGCCCCGGGGCTGCCCCTGCGGCCCTGGGAGGGCCCAGTGGTTCCCTGTCACTGGTATTGTCCTCTCCTCACTTGCGGTGTCTGAGGTGAAGGGGCCAGTCCTGTATCTGTGGACCCTCTGGATTTGTGCAAGTTATCTGTTAGCTTAATGTTTTCTCTTCCACCCCAAAGCAATGGGCTGGGGTAGGTGGCTGCCTTAAACTGGTTCATGCCGTGTTTCAGACGGGAATTGCAAGCTACTCTCAAATATACTGAAATCGTCTTCCCAAACTATCAGGTTCTGCTCACAGAGTTGGGCCCTGTCTGCTCTAGAGGTTGGCTCTCTCTTCATGCCCTCCCCAGGCCTCTGAAGGAGAGGAGTAAGTAAGCTCCCAGGGAGGATGGCCGGCTGTGCTTACAAGGGATAACATGCATCTCCTGTGTGCCGAGACAGCGATATGTGAGCCTACAGCCACAGCCCACATGGGTAACTTGTTTTAAAGGCATTAGTCAGAACGTGGGGTTTTAAGAGGACTGAGTATGTAAGGATTTTATTTCTTGCCACAGAAATTATTAAAATCTGTCTTCTCAGGGTTCCTACAGGCCTTGTGTTTGGACAGGGACTGTGTGTGGGTTTTAGCAGGTGAGTATTTGGGGGAAGAAAGTTCTGTTTTGCTAAACAGAACTGGTGTGAAGCAAGAGAAACCTGTCTCTAAAAATGTTGCTCGTCCGAAGCTATACTGCTGATGGCAAAATAGGATGCAGATATATTCTGCAAGAAATTTTAGTTAGGCAGAGTTATTTCCCAGGTTGGTCATAATAGAACAAATATCCTAATATGCGTGACAGCCTGCCTGCTCACATGGTTTAGCATTTGAGGATGGCAGCTGTTAAGCAAACGTGAAGTCTTTGAATCTTGCTTTTAATCCATTCAGACTTTAGAAATCCTTTGCTATATTTTGGTCATAGCAGATGACTAAATTTTACAGAGCTGGAAAACAGCTCTTGTCTAATACAAGTCTGCACTACCTTTTTGTCAACCATGGAGAGTTGTCATCTCATAGTAAGAGACCAAACAAAATAGAAAAAGAAAGGATTGAGACTCAGTGCCAGCTTGAATTTTTAAGATTAAGGAAAACATTCAGCTAGAGACTTTACCACTTGTGTTTTCCTCAATGAGTAGATACCTACGGCAGGTTGATTTGCTACGTCTGCTCTATTTTTTTTTCCTTCATGGGCTCCCAGTCCACTGTGATGAAAGTGAATATCTCTCTTCCTTGGTGCTCACAGAAAGGCTCAGTCTTTCTTTGTCAAGCTGGATTAAAATGGAGAATTAATATTAGTTACTGTAAATAGATGGAGGGGAGGCTAGTGTGGGGTTTTTGGTAAGCTTAGAAACTATAAACGTGTGTATTCTCCTCATCCTAAGCTTGTCCAGGGAATTACAGCATCCCTCTCTCAGAAGAGCAGCAGCCTAAGTACTTTGAATGGAAGGAAATCTGCAAAAGATGGTCTGAAGCAGGAGCTCTTGGCACCTTTGCAGGTAGATAAACATATAGAACAGGCACTTGTGTCGTATTAAGCAGCTGGCGCTTTTGGCTATCATCACATCCTTCAGTCCTCGCTGTTTTGCTTGTTTTATATCAAAAATGAGTTCAGTGCTAGGTCAGGGTGCGCTTGCGTTATCCTTATTACTTATCCGTGCGGGTAGTATAATGCACAAACTGCTTTAATCAGTCCTTGCAATATAAGGACAACTTTGAGAATGCTTCCTCCGCTTCTCAGAAACCATGAGATCAGATGTGCTTTACAGCACACTGTGGAGCTTAGCAGACTTGGGCTGTGTGATAAAAGGGGAGATCACTTTCAGAGCTGGGGGGTTCTCACAGAGAGTAGTCTCTGAGAGACTTTGTCTCTGTGGCAGACACAGCACTGCAGAAGCAATGGGGCATATGTAGACAAAAATCTTCATTTCCAGATAGAGAAAGGCATTGGGTAGTAGCTGCTTTGCAAATCATGTAATAAAGTCCTAATTGTAAGCCCTTTTGCCTGTGTGATTCTGTTGTCTCCCTGTTACAAATCGATCCAAAGATACTGGTACACCTATAACAGAGGATATGGAATTTCCTGGCTGGATCTCAATGTTAATGCTTTAACCTAAGCTTCATCTGTTAGAACGAACTTTAAAAACCACTAAAATGCAACCATCCCTATGGTGGAATGTAGCAGGTATTTATATAAGTGCAAAGGGCACAAAGGAAAGAAGCGAAAGTCAGGAGGTGGAGTTTGATAAGTCTCAAAATGCTTTCAGAACTGACATATTGGAATAATTTGTGAGCTGCTTTATTCTTTGAAACAAAATGTACTATCCATTTATCACGGAGCTCAAAAGAGACAGTTGCTGTCAGAGAATCTGACTGTAAACCTGACGCTTCATCTCCTTCAGCTTAGCTCACTGTAACGCAAAAATACTGTCGGTATCAGTTGGCAGCAGTTAGAATTCCTTTGGAGATTTGCTACGTTGTTTGGCCAGAATCGTAAGAAAACTAACTTTCTGATGTTTATGCAATGGTTTTGTATGTTTTGGAATGTTGTAAGGCTTCTCCCAGGCTAGTCCAACAATGCTTAGTACGGATAGCCCGAAAGCCCCTGCTTACTAAGACTTGAGTGTCTTAAGATTTGGGACAGAGCATGACCAGCAAAATCCTTAGGAGGTGAATGACTCTACGTTCCTTCAACCGTAAATTCTACGGTGAAAACCACAATTCAGGACACACAAAACCAGTATGTGTAATTGAGACCCCAGGACATTTGGGTATAGTTGAGTACCTGTCTTGGGACTGATCACCTGAGACCCACTGGAGTTGTAGACTTCTAGTCTGTCTTTCTGCTTTCCAGGACTGCCTTCCCCAGGATGTGCCTGAATTCATTAGTGAATCCTGATCAGCAGG